CAACTGAAACAGGTGAATAAAAGTTCCTTTTACAGAAGTATGTTGAGAGGGGCTGGATGTGGGCGCACATGGGTTAGGATAAGAGATAAATCATTCTTGTCAGGTGGACTGACCATGCCATGTGCTATCACAGGGCAGCTTCTTAAGCGCCGTGCTTATAGAGCTGAGCCAAGCTAATTGCTATTCTCCGGGTGCCTCAAGGAGCCCAGGAGGTAGAGGACGAGGAGGAAGCCAGGAAGCCGCGTTTCGGGAGATGTGCAAAGACGTCATGTTTCTACATAGAAGGGCTCAATGGATTTAATGACTGCAGAAATCAAGGAAATGAAAGCCAAGAAATGTGTAACGCTTCCAGCCCGCAGAAGGTGCTGCGAGCCCTGTATTCAGAGGGTTTGCTGATTGGGGGTTGTGCCAGGGCTGCAGTGCAGCCAGGAAGTAATTACGATAAGGAAGGAGACCAAGGTCACATTCTACAACCCTCCCCCCCCATCCCAGGACCCTTGGACTCACAGATATTCTGCCCCTGCCTGCTGAGCTCTGGCATTGAAGGTGGGCACCACCAGTGACACATTTTAATTCCCCCCTCTCATGGAGGAGACAAGGCAGGCAGGCTGCAAGGGGTGATGGGGGCTTTCTCACTTTAAAAAAAAATGTTAGCGTGTGTGTGTGCATGTGTGTGTATGACAGCGCATATGTAGAGGTCAGAGGGCATCTGGTTCTGTCCTGCCATGTGGGACCTTGGGATCAAAGTCAAGTCCTCAGGCTTGGTGGCAAGTGCCTTTACCCACTGAGTCATTTCATTCGCCCTAAAAACTCTTGTCATTTTAAAGATTGTTTATTTAAGATGTTTAAATGAGGGAAAGATGTGAGGTGAGCTGAAGACAGAACACCTCTCTCAGCTCTCCTGAAAGGAGGAGAACTATTTATCGTCTACAGTTAGCCCAGGTGTTCCTGAGGCCCAGCAAGCCCTGACCACTAAGCTAACTGTGTGCTGGCTGTGTTTCCCCTCACACGCTGCTATTTTCTAGCTTTGGCTTTAGAGCCCTGGTCTGGATCTAGCTATTCAGTCTTCATTCTCCTGTCCAAATCCACACATCTTGGTTTCCATTCCCAGGTTGGCAGCGTCGTCTGGCATGCCTCTCCTGTTGCTCAGTATCTAGCTATAACTGGTTGCTGCTCTAATTACAGAAAACCTTGATGCTCTGCTCTTTAAGCATGGATGCCACCGATTACCATGCCGGGTCTGGTTTCTATTGGGCTCTTGCTGTGCCAAGCCCGTGTCCTTCGGGCCCTTTTTCTCTCTTGGCCCCTGGTGCAGTGAGAAGAGTTGCCGCCCTGGTCCCACGAGCCCACTGTTGGCCTCCTAACATGCCTCTGTGGCTCATGGACTCTCCCCCCATTCTTGTCTCGTGTCCTCCAGGACCATGGCTGTTGCCTGACCTTGGGATGACGTGGTCCTAGGCCCCTGACCCTGGCTCCAGAAGAGGCCATACACTCTGTGTGGCCAGAGTAGGAAAGAATGGCTGTGGGCAAGGAAGCAGAAAACCTGGGAACTAAAACCTTTAGACCTCACTCCATGGTAAGCCCTAGGACCCTGAAAGGCCACCGGGACCCTCTACCCCACATTCCATATGTTTGCTTAGTTCTTGTTTCTAGACTGTCTCGTGTAGCCCAGAGTGACCTCTAACATGCTGTGTGGCAGAGGTGACCTTGAGTTTTTGAGCCTTCTTTCATCTCCCTAGGGCTGGGGTGACAGGTACCATTTATATGGTGTGGGGAATCAAACCTGGGTCTTCATATGTGCTTCTGTAGCACCCTAACAACTAAACCACCCCCAACTTCCACACGTTCCAATTATGCTTTCTGTAAGTCTGTCAGGAAACTGGCTGATCCTACTCTTGACTAGTCTTTCCTCTCCTCTCCATTCTCTGTCCTCCTCCCTTCCTTCCTTCCTTCCTTCCTTCCTTCCTTCCTTCCTTCCTTCCTTCCTTCCTTCCTTCCTTCCTTCCTTCCTTCCTTCCTTCCTTCCTTCCTTCCTTCCTTCCTTCCAAACAAAACAATCTTCCCCAATCCTCAAAATACCTCACATTGCCCAGGCTGGCCTACAATTCACTATGCATCTAAGAATACCATCAAACTCCTGATCCTCCTGCCTTCACCCCCCAACTGCTGAGATCACAGGTGTGTGTCACCACACAGAGTCTGTGTGGTACTGAGACACGGACTCACGGACTCACAGACTCACGGACTCACAGCCTCACACGTGCTAGGAAAGCACTCCACCAGTTGCGTGACACCACCAACCAAGTCTTTTTCTGTTTCCTTTTCAGACATATTTTCCCAAGGGCTAAGATGCCAGGCACATGCCACTATGACCATGTTGGTGAAGGTATTCTGCGCGCGCGCGCGCGCGCACACACACACACACACACACACACACACACACACACACAATTTCTTACTAGGACACAGACATTTTAAATGCTAACTCCTCAGAGTAAGGAAAACTGTAGCGGTCTGTCCACCCAGCCAAGCGCAGAAGCCAGCATCAGTTGAAAGCTCTGACTCCTCACTGCAGTGAGAAAATAAACACCTTCTAGAATGCACAAAACCTGCATTTAGTTCTCATCCTCCCGGGGCCAGTAAACCACCCATTTGGTAGATGGGTGTGGCTCACAGGAAGGTGCAACTTCAGCGCCTCTGGGAAATATTAAGGCTCTGGGTGAGGGTGAGCACCAGACAGTTGATCGGCAACACCCATCAGCACCTGGCCGCCTCAGTCACGTAGTTCCTAGGAGCTAACAATCAAGTGGAGATAACGGTTTGCTGACACTTGTGTAATAACTGCACAGGGAGAAAAAAATTTAAATCTATGCTAACCAAAAAGTGTATTTATAATGGGAATCTATTTGATGTCATATAATTTATCTATCTATCTATCTATCTATCTATCTATCTATCTATCTATCTATCTATCTATCTATCACCAAAAAGGTTTCAATAGTCACAGAGTCTGCAGATGGTCTATGGCTAAACCACCCTCTGACATTATAAAATGAATACAACAAATAACAACACTACATTCATTAAAACCTGCTCTGAAGAGAGACAAGATTAATCCACAGACTGGGAGAGAATTTTTTTTTTTTCTTTTTAACAGTTCTGTTTCTGGGCTGAATGGAAGCCCACTTGGTGGAATGTTTGCTTAGCATTCACGAAGCCCTGGGTCTTAGCTCCAGACCTACGGAAACTCCTGCTTCTTAATTCTTCAACTGGCAGAAAAAACAAAAACAAAAACGTTGATCGTATTAAGAATTTGTCTCAAGAAAAAAACCCAAACCAAAACCAACCAAACAAGCAAAAACAAAACAAAATAAAAACAAAAACAAAGGCTGGGTGTGGTGGCACATACCGTTAAACCCAGCATTCTGGTGCAGAGGCAGGTAGTCTCTGTGAGTTCGAGACCAGCCTGGTCTATATAATGAGTTCTAGGATGGCCCAACCTATGTAGAGAAGCTCTATCACAGAAAAAAGAAATAAAGAAAGAAAAGGAACAAGGCAGGAAAGATGGTTCTTTATAAATAAGCTATACCTCCCAAGGTGAGAAATGTATTAATTATGAATGTCTCATAAAAAAACCTATGGTATGTAAGTAGGCATTTCTTTCTTTCTTTCTTTCTTTCTTTCTTTCTTTCTTTCTTTCTTTCTTTCTTTCTTTCT